TGGGTTCGAGCCCCACGTCGGGCTCTGTGCTGACAGCTCAGAGCCTGGAGCCTCCTTCAGATTCTGTGTCTCCCTCTCTCTGCCCCTCCCCTGCTCATGCTGTCTTTCTCAATAATAAATAAAAACATTTAAAAAATTAAAAAAAAAAAGAAATCTATAATTATGTGGGTCTTGATTTGATCACGTGGGCTTTAAGGACAAAACCTGACTTAGCCCAAGACCAGCGCCAGGTCAGAGCCAGTGACGGCGGCGATGAGCCCCGCCTCCCCACGCCTTCCCGAAGACACGCTGTTCTCTGACAGGCTGCCGTGCGTGGCCTGTCCCCACCGGCAGCCACCGGGTGGGCGCGGCACCGTCTCCCAGCAACAACCCAGCTGCCGCCACACAAAAGGAACCCAGGAGCCATTTGCCGGAATAAAGCTTCCCATCGCCCATCCTCCAAACAGTGCTACAGCCTCCCCTCCGAGCACGGAGCCACCAGAACCGGTGTCTCCCCACAGTCTGACTGCAGCTCACGCCTGGCACGGCCTCGGCCTCTCCGGCCACTGGAGTGAGCTGGGCCCCGGTGGCCTCGTTCACTCTGGATTAGGGGTCGACACAGTAATTCAAGCTCGTGCTCACTGGCGTCCCCAAGTGGGTGTGTGGGCGTCGCAGCACGGTGGGGGGCGAGGTGCGGGTGCAGGCCACAGATGCCACAGGGACTCGCCTGGCCTGGCAGAGGGAGCTTGGAGGCGGCTCTGAGCCTGGGGCCTGGGGTCTCCCCCAGGGGAGTTTACAGCCCACTGCACACAGCGGTGACGGCACCACTCCTACTCTGTCCCCACCTCACTCTGCTGGGGCACAGACCCCACGCTCCCCGCCAGCGCCTGGCATTAGAATGAGGACTCATGTGCCAAATGGAGAGCCTCCAACGTGGTCACAAAGGGCGTCTCTGGGTGATCATTACTGTGCTGCGGTCTTCCAGGAGCTGTGGGAAAGAGGGTGTCCACTGCGTGTGTTCTGGTTTAGAAAGTATTTTTTGACGATCAGAGAATTCAGCCCAACTTTCTTTGACCATGATGTTCATATCACTAACGTGTGTCTCTGCAGACAGGGTGGGGCCTCTGAGCAGACTGCCCCAAGGCCTGGCCCTGAGAACGTTCTGAGTTCAGGACGTCACCAGCCTTTCATCCTGGGAATCCGCAGCCGCCCGGAGACCAGGTGCTGGGCGAGCCCACCGTCCCCAGGGTGGGGAGCTCTGAGCTGCAGACCTTCCGGGACCAGCAGGGAGGGCCCGCGGGGGGGGTGCCTGCAGGGGGGCCCGCGGGGGGGGGCCGAGAAGCCGGCGGCGTGGCCCTGGGAGCTGCTATTCGGTTGGGGGGACGTGGGGTGCAGTGGGGAGGGGGCTGGGTGTGCCCTGAGATGCCCCAAAGCAAGGAGGCATGCGACCCCGCTGTCGCTGCCGGTCCCCAGAGCCCCTGCCCCCCAGCCCCGGGCGCCCACCCTCCTGTCTTACAGGTGGGGTCAGACAGGCCCTGTCCTTTCGTTACTGAGCTGTTGTCCTGTGAGCCGAGTCCATCTGGCCTGATGCGACGTCCTCAAGGTTCGTCCCCCAGGCATGAGTGCAAGCGACTTGTTCCCAGAACAGCACTGAATCTCACGACACGAAAAGTGAAGGCCTCGTTCTCAGTTAGAACAAGTGAGCACCACGTTCTGGAAGAACCACCACTGAAGCCCTGGGCACAGTGGCTTCATCAGCACTATGGTGACAGCCCTGGAGGTGACAGTATGGGGAGGTGACAGCCCTGGAGGTGACAGTGTGGGGCAGTGACAGCCCTGGAGGTGACAGCTCTGGGAGGTGACAGCCCTGGAGGTGACAGTGCGGGGAGGTGACAGCACTGGATGTGACAGCCCTGGAGGTGACAGCCCTGGAGGTAACAGTGCTGGGCCAGCAGTGGGAGCCGCATTGTCAGGAGAAGGTGCCAGCATGACGCCCGCCTGACCGCCTGGTGCTGGGTCACTCGGCCGCAGAGCCCCGCACCGGGGAAGGGGTCTCTGTGTGCAGTTAGTGATCCCGTGATGCCCACAGGAGGGCCCTGTGTGGGGCCGAGACAGATGTGGAGGGAGACACCCTCCCCGGAGCAGCGGGCTGGGCTCACCCAGGGTTAGCGCACGTGAGCCTGATGACCTGTGCTCCCCCCTGCCGTGAGGGCACGTGTCGGGGACTCTCACGGAGCAGCCTCAGCTGTGGGCTTTCCTCAGCTCCCTAAGGACTGGGCCCCCAACAAGGGCGCTTGCTCAGTCACAGGGGCATTTTAGGGACCAGCCCCTGGGACCACACAGCCCTTGTCTCGCCCCTTGAATTGCAGGAACGGTGGTTTCTCTCCGTGCTTCTCTGCGCCCGCACATGGAAACAACAGTTGATGCCGGTGCTGCCGGAGAGGAGACAGTCGAGGGAGGGAAGTCCTTACGCTCACTTCTGATTCCCCAGGACACGCCCTGCTCCCCCAGCACGGTGTTCCAGGGGACACTGGGTGCCTGCAGTCAGAACGTCCACTCGAGTGTGGATCAGGAGAAGCAGTCCTGGCTGTCCCTGGTGAAGCCCACGCAGGTCAGAGCCGGTGGCCCAGGGCCTGCCGACCTGGCCTCGGAAGAACAATGCTTCCGCTTTAGAAAGAAATCTTGTAGCCACTTATTTAAAATCAGAAATCACATATGAAAAATATTGTAGCCCTGTAACTTTCAAGTTAAAGTTAAACTCTATGGAAGAAACCCAAAAAGAAAACAATCAAAGGCTCCCAAGTTTCTCCCCCTCTGCCCTCCACCCCGTCTGCCTCCTGCCCGGAGACAGTCCACGGTGCAGCCACTGCAGAAAACAGTCTGGAGGTTCCCCGAAAGAGTAAACAGAATGACCATACGATCCAGCAGCTCTCCTGGGTGTTTACCCAAAATAACTGACAGCAAGGACTCAAGCAGGTTATTTTCACATGAACACTCACAGCGGCATTACGCACCGTGGCCCAAAGGTAGAATCAACCCGCGTATCCACTGACGGATGAACACATAAGCAAAAGGCGGTGACACACACCAGTGAAGCAGTATTCAGCCTTAAAAAGGAAGAGAGCATTCACACCCGCTGCAACATGGGCGAACCTTAAGGACATTATGTGCAGTGAGATAAGTCAGGCCCCAAAACACAAACGCTGTCAGATTCCGCTCATGTGAGGTTCTTAAAGGAGCTGCAGTCATAGACACATCACAGATGGGGGGTTCCGGGAGCTGGGGGAGGGCGATGGGAAGTTCATGTTTAATTGGAGAGAGTTACAGTTGGGAAGAAGAAAAAGTTCTAGATGTGGAAGGTGGTGATAACTGCACAACGCGAATACTTAATACCACCAGGCAGCATACTGTAAGGCGGTTAAGATACTGGTAAGTTCTGTGTATGTTTCACCATAGCTAGGAAGTTGACGAGTGAGAGCACCTGCTGTTTATTCAGCACCGGCCACGTGCAGTGGGCCCGGTGCTCTACCAGCATCCCTCACGAGGCAGTGGCACGTGCTTCACCATGTGCTCACCGACGCTGGGACTATCGCTCTGTCGTCCGTGACAGATTTGGTAAAACAGGACCTGGGTAGTATGAAGTGAAGAAGCGGGGTGGGGCTGACCAGCATGAACGGTGGGCGACGTGGAAGCCGGTGGACGCTCTGCGAGGGGCTGCCTGACTCCTGGGCGGATGTCACGACGGGAGGCAGCGCTAACTTCTCTTGTGTCCTGATTCTGACGTAAACGATTCCCCTCCCGTGTGCTGTATGGAAAATCTAAACACTCAAGACAACTTGAAGCCACAGATCAGGAATCAGACGCCCAAGCAGCGAAGGGAACCAGACCAGTTCCCCGACATCGACATCCCCACGTAATCGGCAGTCGGGGTCGCCATGCTCTCGGTCCGGCGGCTGGTGGCTGATGTCTCAGCAGGACTTTTCCCTTCAGCTCTTCACCGCGTCTCCCAGTACCGAGCGGACCCACCAGGTGTGCACCGGGCACGGCCTCCTGACCTCCGAAGGGCTCTGGGGCTTTGGTCGTGAGCTCTCTGCCCAAGGGAGGGGTTCAGGCAGAGCCTCTGCGCAGCGCCTGGGGGGCGGCCAGGGAGGCTGAGGGACCATCCCCGCCCCCGGGAACGCGGCACGGGGCTCTGTCCTCCAAGCACTGCCGGGTCCCGTGTTCCACGGCCACCGCCCCAGACAGCACGCTCTCCCTCAGGCTTTCCCCGAACGCTCCCTGAACGCTTCCTGAACGTTCCACGGCGCACTTAGTGCACTAACGCTGGTGAGCTTGGGTAACATCCTAACCCGGAGACATTCCTGGCCACGTGTGCTGGCATTCACACTGACGGAAGAGGCCCAGGAAGCCTTCCGTTTGCCCAGAAACGAGCCCCCAGCACCTCAGCAGAGCCAGCCCTGGGTCCGCCTGAACAGGTGCCTGGCCCTGGGTCCAGGGACCCGCAAGAATGTGGCGGCCATGTCCCCTCGCTTCCAGATGACGCGACTTGAGATCAGAGCACACAGCTCCCTAGACCTTCATGACGCTGAACGTGCGAGCTCCAAGCTGTCCAAGCTTTGAAGGCCTGGCTGTTGGAGAGGTTCAGGGAAGGCCTCTGGTCAGCTGGCCTTGCCCTGAGTTCTAGAAACTGTCTTGTCAGTCAACGCACGGCAGCCGGTCTGATGTGTGGGCCTCCTTGAGAAGGCTCACCCTGGGTGCTCTTAACAGAGCAGGGGCGGGGCGGGGCGGGGGTCGGAGGGGGCGTCCAGCACCCGCAGTGCCAGCCACGCAACGGGGGAGGGCTGCGGGAGGCCATCCTCAGCTTGCTTGCTCTCCCTCGGCCTGGCCGCCTCCACGCCCCCCCCCCCCCCCCCCCCCCCCCCCGCTGGCCCCATCCTCTGCCAGGCCCGCTCGCCAGGACCAGATGTCCGCCCCAGGCAGCCGGCCGCCCTCCCCGCCCCCGCCCCTCCGCCCGCGCTCACCCGCTCCTCCTCTGCGCGGATGTCCGGCATGGTGCTCAGGCAGAGGCCGACGGCCGTGGCAGCCACGAAGGCGACGGACACGCAGGCGAAGAGCTTGCCGGCCGGTCCCGAGCGCGGGTCGCCCAGCAGGCCCCCCGGGCGCCCCGGCGGCCCCGCGCGCGCCCCGGCCGCCTCCTCCTCGCGGCGGCGCAGGCGGCGCAGGCAGCAGCGCTCCAGGCGCGCCTCGTCGATGCCCCAGTAGGCCAGCTCGTCGCGGAAGGCCAGCGCGCACGGGCCGCGCAGCAGCCGCAGCTTCCCGGCGCGCAGCAGCGCCGCGATGGCGCGGAAGGCGCACGGGCTGCGGTCGAAGAAGAACTCGTCGCGGCCCGCGTCGTAGTCGTCGCACACGCGCAGCAGCTCGTCCCGGCCGCCGCAGGCCCGCAGGCGCTCGAGGCGCGCGAGGGGGCAGCGCGCCAGCGCCGCCCAGGCCAGGCGCACCCTGCAGCCGCCCACGTTGATGGTGACGACGCGCCGGCCGCCCGCGCGCTCGGGGCGCAGCGCCATGGCCCGGGGCGCCTGGCCGCGCTCAGGACGCAGAGCCTGCGAAGGAAAGGAGGCGTCAGGCCGCGCGGGGGACCCGGCCTGGGAAGGGGCCCGGCTGCCCCACGTGCACAGGGGCCCCGCGGCGGTGGCGCCCTGGCCCCGATGCGTCTCCTGGTGACTGATGGCCAAGAGCCGCCGCCTGGAGGTGCCCCTCCCGCCCCAGGGGATCCAGGCCAGGGCTCACCGGTTCCTCAAATAAGGTCGAGGGGGAAAGACCACCTGTGGGACAACGTGCCTGTCGACTTTGGAGAGCCAAGCTGGCTGCTCAGGCGAGAGAGAAGGTGATCAAGACTGAATCTTGTGTGCACCTGGGCCTACAGTCTGGAAACAATGAACAGACTCCTGACACCAAGGACATGGCTCCTTGGAATTCCAGTTTGGGGGGCAGGGACAGCCCTGCACCCCAATCTGCAAGGTGAGCTCTGCATGAGAAACGAGGGTGCTCTGGAGGGCACCAGAGAGGTCCGGGACAGCCAGGAGGGCTTCCCAGAGGCAGCTGACTGCGGCAATTTGGGGAAAATGTAGAAATTGTGCTGCAGGAGAGAGACCTCAGATACTTAATATCCAGTGTTTGGGTAGTGGACACTTGCTGCCAAGATTTCCCGAGCTGCTTCCTCAAATCGAAGACCCCGAGGGACTCAAGGCTCTGAGGGTTCCAACTCATGTGAACGCCAGCCTGCACACACTGAACTTCCTTAATGAGGCCACAGGACATCTGAACTCACCGCACTTGAAACTGTCAGGACTCAGCAGCAGCGCTTTACTGGGAGGCCTCGTGGGGGTGGCCCGTGGCTCTCCCAGGAGATGCTTTCCCACGGAGGTTGGCTGATTACAGTTTCGGGATGGGCTCAGAAGGGGCTGCGCCCCGAGTTTGTGAGCTAAGGCCGAGGCGCACCTTTGTGTGGATGAACAGCCCCGAGGGAAAGCCCCGCATGCCCTCTCCCGGGGCTGCGGACGTCACAGGGGACAGCAGCTCCTGCCTGGAATGCGAGCGCCAGGCTTCCCCAGGAGGGCAGAGCCGCGCTGCCGTAACACATGCTGGGAAGCCGGGCTGGGCAGACGTGGCTTTGATCCCTCCCCCTTCCCACACTCCCTGGCGTCACATACAAAATTTGTGCAACAGGAGGATGGACCCCTTTAGTAGCTGAATCAAAGGTGTCCTCTGAATTCTCTGCAGGCAAATGAATAATTAGTAAGGGAGCTGGATAATCAGCTAGAACCTGGGACTCTCGTAAACAGTTTTCTTCCCCCAGAATATACACGTAGAAACATAACCATAGGGCGTCTGGGTGGCTCAGTCGGTTAAGTGTCTAGGTCTTGATTTCAGCTCAGATGCTGATCTCACCACTGTCACCGCTGACCTAGCTCCGAGGTGGGTTCCAAGCTGGGTGTGGAGGCTGCTTCAGATTCTCTCTCCCTCGGCCCCTCCTCCAGGTATCTCTGTCTCAAAAAGAAAGAAAGAAAAGAAAGAAATACACCTATAAATCATCTGTTGCTTTGAAAGTATTGTAGAGTTAACTTCCCACTGACCTAAGAGGCTGCACACTCGCTCCAGAGCAGCACGCGCACACGCCCGCTCCCAGTGTGGAGCCCTGCGGACTTTCCGTGCTGCTGATTTCACGAAGACTGGTGGCTCAACAGAAGGGTAGGCGGGTTGTCACAAGGGGTACGGGCACGGGAAGAACGGCCTCCACACACATCGTCGGAGGCTTCATCCGTAACAGCGTGTCGGGCCACACGGGCGCTGCGTGGGAATGTGAGGAAGTCTGAGCGCTCTGTTGTCAAGGGTGTGGGCTTGTGAGACGTGCTCACCTTTAAGTGGCTTCAGCCATTATGACAGCAGCTGAGGGTGTGAACTAACGCCGCGTCCTCAGGGAAGGGCTAAACTAGAGACAAAGGCAGCTGCCAGCAGAGGAAGGTCACGAGGGTTCTCCGCCTGTGGCTGTCGGTGCAACGTGAGCTCGGGGACTCAGCGCCCACCTGTTGGGAACACTAAGTGGTGCAGCCTCTCTGGACAACAGTGCGGAGGGTCCTCAGCAGGTTAAAGATAGAGCTACCCTACGACCTAGCAATTGCACTACTAGGTATTTATCCGAAGGATTAAAAAAGGCTGAGTCGAAGAGGCACGTGCACCCTGATGTTGATGGCGACACTATGACAGTAGCCAAAGTATTGAAAGAGCCCAAATGTCCATCGGCTGATGAATGGATAAAGAAGCTGTAAACATACCTATAATGGAGTGTTGCTTGGTAATCAGAAAGAATGACATCCTGCCATTTGTCACAACGTGGATGGAACTAGACGGTATTATGCTAAGTAGAATAAGTTAGAGAAAGACCAATATCAAGTATTTTCACTCCTATGTGGAATTTCAGAAATAGAACAGATGAAAATAAGGGAAGGGAAGGATAATAAGATAAAAACAGAGAGGGAGGCAAACCATAAGCGACTCTTAAATACAGAGGGCCGACTCAGGGTTGATGGCGGGAGGTGGGCGGGGGATGGGCTAGATGGGGACCAGCATGCAAGAGGCGCTTGTTGGGATGAGCACTGGGTGTCGCATGTGAGTGAGGAATTACTAGAGTCTATTCCTGAAACCATTATGTTGAATAAATTGGATTTAAATTAAAAAATAAAATAAACGCCCACCGCACAATGGTCTTGAGGTTGGAATTTTGGTTTGTGAGGCTCAAAGCCAAGAAATGGCCCCTGACGGCAGCTAGTCTCAGGAAGGCCCTGGGGCCGCGTCAGAGCCACACCCTCGTCCAGAGCAGTCCTCACAGCCTGCCCGGGGCCGCGTGCCAAGGCCTGGAGACATTTCCATTGCTGTGACGAGCGGAGCGTGGCGGACGCCGGTGGGCAGGGGCCGCGGGGGCTGCGCAGCCCTTCAGTGCACCCCAGAACCCCAGGACCCAGAGCTGGAAACGAGCCCGTGTCAACAGGGCCACTGGCCTAGAGGGACAGACTCTCACCTCCAGCCTCATGGGATCCCCACAGATGAAGCCCCAGCTAAGACAAATTTATACAAAACGCAATTATAAAACACACAGGGCAACAGCCCACGCGGGCAGATACCGGCAGCCACACAAAAAGATTAGACTCCTGGGAACATTAGGGAATACAGGTTTTAAAAATACATACAGATGTGAGAGAAGGAATTAAAACACCACAGAAAAAAGACGTCTTCAGAGAGACCAGGAGGGCCTGAACAAGAAGCAGTCCCCCTGTGCCCACGTCCCCCGGCTCCCTGGCCCCCTGGCACAGGCCGGAGATGCTGGAGTCCCAGTGTCCCTAGGGGCAGCTCTCGCCAAGGCTGAGAAGCTGGGGTGAGAGGCCTGCAGAGCTCTCTGGAACCGGGAAGGGCCTCGCCCGCTGGGCCACCCTGCATCCCCGCTGCGGGGTCTTCCCGGGGAGAACCGAGCTCAGACATCCGGGAAGTGCGAGGCCCGCTCCAGGCTTGCAGTCCACAGTTCCGGGAACTTTGAATAAACAGGAATGTGCAGGGAAAAGTGTCTAAAAGGGAACGTTATCTGGTTTTGTCCAAGCACACATCCATCCCGCTAACTAATGATTGTTCACAGCCTCCTCTGTATCACGTTCTTTGATTCAAGAATGGAACCTTGTGCTTCTTATAGGAAGAAAGTGATTTAATCCACTTCCTTGGGCTGGTTTACTGGGTCTTTAATAGGAGTTGCTGCTATTTATGATACTATCTCTGTGATCCTCACAATATGCCGACTTTTGCCGTTACCTTCCCCCCACACCACGGAGCCTATCATCCAAACGGGACTCTCTTCAGAGGTGCAGGGTGCTGTTAACAATGACGGCGGACAGCAGGGTCCACTGAGAGGGATGTTACCCTGCCCCAGGGGGCAGAAAGGACCCGGGCAAAGCCCCTAGTGCCCTGCGGAGGCCCCTGGGAGACACTGGCTGGAGCCCCCGCCCTGGCAGTCTGTTGAGATGCTGGCTTGGTAGCTGGCGCAGAGGGGGCGGGGCTCCTGGAGAACCGGAGCTCATTCACTGGCCAAACCAACCGAAACCGGGCCCGGGAGACCAGCACAGGGTGGGCGACAGAGAGGAAGCCTGACCGGCAGGCATCTCCTGGCTCTCGGGAGCAGGCGACACCAGGAGCTGGGGGGTGGGGGGAGCGGTCCAAGGTCAGCGCCAGCTGCTCGGGGTCCATCCCAGGGCCCGCTAGGAGGGAGGGCCTCCATGAATAGCGGGTCATCTCCATGCACGGGGCCCTGGGAGACAGGTCCCGTCGGCTGCATTCTGCAGGCTGCAAATCGAGCATCGTGAAGGCTGAGTAGTGTCCGCACTTCGCTGTGGGTGACAGGGCTCTGGCCCTGGTCTTCCCCGGGTTCTGGCCACCCCCGCAGTCCCCTTTCTCTGCGGATTCCCGCCGATTAATCAGTAACGGGGGCCTGCCAACCTGTTTGCCGTCGTCTCTCTGCCAGATCAGTTCATATGTGACGGTGTTTGCTTAGCCAGCTGCTCTCTCGGTAAGTGGGAGCCCACGGAGCCGTGAACAAAGCCACACAAGCCGGGTGCTGGGTCTTTGGGCAGAGCCATGTTGCCTCACAGCGTCATCTGCACAGAAGGAAGTCTCACGTATTTTACCCGTTCTCTGTGGCTTGGCATTTCCTGTTTGAGCACTTGGCACGGCGCCAGAGGGGTCCTGACGGCGCCCGGACACAGTGAAGCCGGGCCTCCTCACGGTGGACCCGTCGCTCAGGGCTGCGTTGGCTCGTGGACGCCTCCCGGGTCCCTTCTGGTGCTAGAGGCCTGTCCACCCGGGTCTCCCACAGGTGTTCTTCGATTCCTTCTCGAGAGCATTTTCCGGGTGTGTCGTGTGTGCTGTGGAAGGTGAAGACCTTTCTCTCCTCACTTTAATGTCCAAGCATACTTAGGAAAGCTCACCGAAAACAAACGGGAAAGCGCTCCCGGCTAGCCTGCTGGGGACCGGGGGACAACGGAGGCCGGGCCCCAAGACGGCTCCCGGGAAGGCGGGGGCTGGTGTGGATGCCCAGGGGCTGGGACGCCTCACCACATGGGGCCTGACGCCTGAAGCCAGGTTCTGTGGTTGAAACACGCCCCCCCCCCCCCCCCCCCCCCCCCCCCCCCCCCCCCCCCCC